GAGCTGAGCAAAACTCTGGAGGGGTTTGCAAATTAATTAGCAAATTGCAGGTTTAGGAGGTTATAGCAAGTGGCGAGCATGCTGGCAGGCTGCCCGAAAGGCAAGTGCACCAGGAGCAATAGCTTTGAATGTGCAGTGGACATCCAGGTGACATCCTGGGGATGGCAGGGACAGCACGGGCAGGAGGGACTGGCTTCTGTTTGCATGGGCAAATGCAACAGATTTGGCAGCAGGGAGCAGAAAACCTGCTACAAGGAGACAAGAGGGGAGCGCCGGCTGCAAGCTGTGAGCTGGCAAGCTGTTTAAACCCAGCTGATTTTTGCCCTTTTGTAGCAAGGCAGCCGAGGTGAGCCCTTGCGCGGGCACCTGCGTGGGGATTCCATTCGGCCGTGGTGCCACCTTGCTGCCTCGCCCAAAAAGCAGAGGCAGGGCATTGCCCAGGGAGCTCCGTCAGGTGCTGCACTGCTCCTGCTTCCCTCGGGCAGCGTTGCCTTCCGTTTTCCTCTCGTTCCCTTGGCTTTTGGCACTTGTGTGATCAGCACATGTCTAATAGCAGGCTAACAGCAGCTGCCAGGTCTGTACGTCTGTCCTGTGCCCTGCAAGTCTCTTGGGACGCTCTCACACTATTTACCCTTGAGCGGATGCTACCCCCATGGCACCAGGGCTCGACGCTCTCTCTAGATGCTGGCAACAGATTTTTCATCTGCAGGTTGAGCTAATGTCTGCAAAGCCTCCCCGCCTTTCCCAGGAGGGAAGAGGAGCTCTTTGCTCCCTTTAAAGTGCTCCAACTCCTTCGAGCTGCTGCAAAGTCTGAGGGGAACATCTGGGGGGGGGGTGTGGGGGTGTGGCTGTGAGTCCCCGTGTTTAGTACACCCCCCAGCTTAGTCCCCCAAAATCGGGTGCTATGGGGAGCGGAGCAGGTCTGGCTGGATGGCAGATGTTGCATGCCGCATCCAAGAGCCCTCGCATCTGCAGCTGGAATAAATGGCTGAGTGGTGGAGCGGTGCCAGCCCCCCTCCCCCTGCGCTGGGGGGGTTTTATGAGCCCCAGGAGGAAGCGCTCATTAAAGTCTGGGATTTGAGACGATCGTTAGCGGCCAAGCCGGCTGTGTTGTGTAACGTGATGTAAGGTGCTGTGAGCCAGGGCTTGCTCTGCCTCAATATTTCCGAAGTGCTGGAGCGTGGTTGTGTCCAGCTGATAAGGGAGCAGGAGGAAGAGCCGGGAGGAAGAAACCCAGTGGGGAAAAAAAAAAGTAGCTCTAAATGGGTTTTTTAAGGAAGCACAAGCACCTCAGTGAGTGGTGATCGGTGGCCATCAATTGATAGGGCTGCTTTCACTCATGACCACCGTGCCGTGCCAGGAGACCCATGGATGGCCGTTTGTCTTGGCCACAAAAGGTCTTCCAGTTGTCAGCAGCTTCCAGTTGACCCATGGAGCCTTGAAACAGGGTTAAAGAGTGGTGTTGAAAGGCTCGGGCTGCTCCAAAATGGGGATGTTTTGGCGTTTTTGCAGGGAAGAGGCATAATTGGGGGTGCAGGGGGGGGTTTCAAGGGAAGAGGAGAGATGGGGATGTGGCAGGGCAGGTGGTGCAGGGCAGCGGGGCCGCACCAGGGTTTGGCTGGAGGACAGAGGGTGTGATGCTTGCTGCCCCGAGGACCGCGCGCCTGCGCCTCTCACTGCACCGGCTCCGCTCCAAAACAAAGAGAAAAGACACCTGCCCCCCTGCCCCCTCACTGGCAGGAGAAGGGATGCTGGTGGTCGCTGCTTGTGA